TGATGAATCCTTCTGATTTGATTTGCTGTATTGTGTTTGAAATCGCAATCAGTGCTTGTGCAGAAGCTACGGACCGATTCAGGAGTTCACCATTCATACTGGATGTGATGCAAGTCATATTCCAGTCTACAGCCCTGCTTCTTTCCTTTATTTATTTATTTACAGTATTTTTTAGCTGCACCATTACCAGTGGCTTCTGGCTTTCTGTGGTTCAGTCTCTGCTGATCCTTTTATGGTTCACTGTGAAGCTGCTTTCTCATTTAAAGCTTCAGACTACTGCATTTCTCAAAAATCTTTCTACAGAAAAATAATATGGAAAAGTACTTCACAGTCTAATAGTACTGGACATTAAACGTTTGAACAGTTAGGTTGCAAAATACATTGTAATTCATATGTCAGAATGATTCCATAATAGGGATCACCACCTCCCTTTTCCTATCTATTACTCTTTTAAGTAAAGCATGAAGGACTTACCTTATTTCGAGTCACAGTTTATCACAGTTTATAGTTTAAAACCATATATGAACACACATGAGGTACGGTCTGCATATATTGCTTGAAAGTAAGGGAAAAGAATACAGTAATGGATGCGAAAGGGACTTTCAATTAGACTTTCAGACCTGTCAATTAAGTAATTAATTAAATATTTAACAGCACGGAGCTTTTGCTTCACAACAAAAGGGACTTCCCACACAATATGACAGGATTCGGGACTAGCACCCGATCCCCCACATTAAAACCACAGTGCTTTGCTTCGCATGGGGTTGTGAGAAGGAGATGCAGGACACACAGCCTTAAGCTAGATGGTTGCTCATTCCCAGCGGTGAAGAAAGATTCTTTGGCCAGTCATAAAATCCATGGACAACACATTACCTTTTTTGCTTCAGGCAGAAAAACATCTCTGGTTAGCTCAGATCAACACATCAGACCTTGAAAAAGTAATTTTTTGAACTATTTTCCCCGGAATTCCAATGGGCAATTACCATACTGTGGAGGGAATTCTGTGAGTTTTAGTTTAAAACAAATCCTTCTCCAAGCTTTGCAGAACTCATTGCACTTAATTCTGTGCCCTGTACCTGCCTGCTCTTGGGCTGGCTGCCCCTCACAGCCACTTGCCACTGCCAGTGTTATTTTTAATATTTGGTGTTTTTCAATATTTCAAACAAGCATAGCGCTAATTCAGTATTACAGATAGAAAAATATATACTGTATATAAATAACAGATTGGACTGCGACTATTCCTTGTAGCCCCAATTCTGTGATCCTGATGTGATACTTGACAAACCCCACAGACAAAATTTACTCCAGCATAGGTGAGCACACATGCCAAAATGATTCCCAACAAACCGTGTCCACAATGGAGTTAAAACAAACAACCCCCTCAAGACTGTTTGAAATACTTTGCTTTCTGAACAAAAACAAAACAAGACAAAAATAATAGCTGCCCATCTTTAAAAATGTGCACTTAGTTTTATGTTGTGTAAAAGGATATTTTTAAATTGATTTCAAGTATGCTAAACCTGGGGGGGAAGTGGTGACGCTGTGGGTTAAACTGCAGAAGTCTCTGTACTGCAAGGTCAGAAGACCAGCAGTCGCAAGATCGAATCCACACAATGGAGTGAGCTCCCGTCGCTTGTCCCAGCTCCTGCCAACCTAGCTGTTTGAAAGCATGTAAAAATGCAAGTAGAGAAATAGGTACTACTTTGGTGGGAAGGTAATGGCGTTCCGTGTCTAGTCACGCTGGCCACGTGATCACTGTCTTCAGACAAACGCTGGCTCTACGGCTTGGAAACGGGGATGAGCACCACACCCTAGAGTCGGACACGACTGGACTAAATGTCAAGGGGAACCTTTACCCTTACCTAATGAGTACTTATTAACTACTCTGAGAGCCTCTTTAGCAGAAGAGCAGAGTCCACAGGCAGTATGTGAACAAATCAGATTACTTTTGTTTTAAAGGCTCAAGAGCCGTTGCAGTACCACTCTGTAATTACTGTACTTTCCAAGCTCCGTCAGAGCGTTCAGACAATGCGTCTTGATCCACTTGCAGGGGTGTCATGCGCAGCGTTTGGAAAAAATTACAAGTCCTAGAATCCTGCAGCCAGCATTGGCTGGAGCATTCTGGAAGTTATAGCCCACAAAGTAACTTTTCCAGTCTCTATGAGTACTGTACTGTACATAAACAGGAAAACCTAGGAGGCTTAAGGTTGCACTCACCAGATTATCAGGGGCATCATCCTGAAGTGACTCTTTGCCTCCTGCAACGAATAAAAAAAAAGTACATCAGGAAATGTGGCCATGGGAAAGGAGAAAGTTGAGGGCAAGAGGGAAGCTATAATTTTGTCCTCTTGAAATTCTAGTTTGTCATTTTGCAAATAAAGGTTAAAAATTGCTATACCCATTGGTGGGTACAGCTTGCAAACGACAGAGCCAGACTAACTGTTCCACCGGCTGCTCTTCTGGATCTGATTCATTCCCTCCTCCAGGGCCGAGAGTGCTGAGTTCAGATTCCTGGATTGATGCAGTCCAGTCAGAGGCACATCGTCGGGTATGAAGCCTACTGTGTTGTCCACAAAGTTAAAATCTGTAGGTCCAAAATCTGTATGGAACACAGATGAGGGGAAAGGTTTGCAATCGCAAGAGCCCCCGTGGCGGGAGGAGACAGAAGTTGTTATATAATAATAGCAGTGCCATGTAAAAGAGAGAGAGAGATAGAATCTGAACTCGGAACACTCTTTCGCCTTTGCCCCTTGGTATAAGATCAAGAGGCAAGTCAAGGAAAAAAACCCAGTGTCATACCACCGTACCAAAAACATTGATGTGGCCCCCTTCTTACACAGCCTCGCTCTGTATCTTTCGAAAAAGAGAGCTGTTTTCTGGTAGTTCCGTTCCTGGACTCTCCTCTATGCAAAAGCACAGGTGGCCATCCTCTCTTACAACCTGGTTGCCTGAAATAACCCCCTCTAGAATGAACCCCTTTCGATCGCTAGGGTCTTCATGGGTCTGGGGCAGTGTGGACGAGGAGGCTGTCTTCGAGAGAAAAGGGCTTGCGGGCAACTGAGTCAACCAGACTCCTTACCTTGCATGTCGTCAATATCTGGGTGAACAGGAAAGGCCTCTGAGGGGAAGGTTGCTGACAGAGCGATGATGGCGCACATCAATGTCTGGGAAGAGATGGCCATTGATGCTCTTTCTTTGCCTCTCGGTCAAGCTGTGTGGATCTTGGCCGTGCCTTGAGCACCTGAGAGGGAGAGCACCCTCCTTTATACCTTCTCCTCCCATCGATTTCAGCAAGATCAATACATTATCATCACCCCGGAAAGGATCCATCCATCCATCCACAGCAGTGACAGAATGACCAAGTGTTGATCATAGGTTAGTCACCCCAACGATGCGCCCTTATCACTTTATGCTTCCGTTCTATCATTGTTTGATCAGGTAGCCCTTAATGAATGTTTGAAGTGGAGCAGAGATGTAATTCCTGTTTGTTTCTGGCCTTAGAGAAATTGGGGGACAGTTGTGATGTCAGACTTCACAATACGTTTGGCTCAGGCTGAATAGAACCGACAGCAAAAATAGGTGGGAGTTTTTGAGCAAGCAAAATGCAGATCAGCAATTCGTTTTTCCTGAGGATATTTCTCTGTAAACAGGAACCACCAAAGCAGACTCCTGCTCTGAATGAAGCTGAGCAAGGGATTCAAGACTAACGAGAGACAGAAGTCAAAGAAAATGACTACTAATACTAGTACTATTAGTATTACTACTATTACGAATAGAGATTGGAAAAGTCCTTCACACCCCAGAGTTAAACTCTGGATGTTGCTACTACAAACGGTTGTGAAGGCTATAATAGCTTTCAAAAAAGGCTAGAAAAAAGTTCCTGATACCTAGGGGCTAAAAGGGTGCAGGTGGCACTTGCGGGTTAAACCGCCAAGCCACTGGGCTGTCAATCATAAAGTCAGCAGTTCAAATCCGCACGATGGAGAGAGCTCCTGTTACTTGCCTCAGCTCCTGACAACCGAGCAGTTCGAAAGCATGCAAATGCAAGTAGATGAAGAAATATCACCTCGGTGGGAAGGAAACAGCGTTCCTTGTCTAGTCATGCCAGCCAGAGGACCACAGAAAGTATCTATGGACAAATGCCAACTCTTTGGCTTGCAAATGGGGATGAGCCCCTGGAGTCAGACATGACTGGACTTAATGGTCAAGGGGAACGTCTACCTTTACCTTTGGGGGCTAATATGTTTGGCAGTCACTGTGACTCTCTATTGCCCTCTAGTAAGAACTAAGTCTACCTTTACCTTTGGGGGCTAATATGTGTGGCAGTCACTGCGACGCTCTATTGCCCTCTAGTAAGAACTATAATCCCTGTCTGTAGTTCTACAGCAATGACACTCATATGAGAAGACAATCAGCAAGTTTCAGGTGACTCATTTGTTAACACATTTGGAAGGTTTATTTACAACATGTGCCAGTGCCCATTTTTGTCTCTCGATGGTGTGACAAGTGTGGCAGGGAGAACTTCACTACCGAGACAGAACCAGTCAAACCTAAATTTTGTGGCCAGAGAAGTCTGTAACTCGAAAAGTCTGTAAGTTGAGCCATTTGTAAGTCGAGGGTCCACTGTATAATCCCTGTCTGTAGTTCCACAGCAACGACACTCATATGAGAAGACAATCAGTAAGTTTCAGGCGACTCATATGTTAACACATTTGGAAGGTTTATTTACAACATGTGCCAGTGCCCATTTTTGTCTCTCGATGGTGTGACAAGTGTGGCAGGGAGAACTTCACTACCGAGACAGAACCCATTTAAAATACTGATATGTTACAGAGGACCTTTTAGACATAATAAACGTACGTACGTACGTACGTACGTGTGTGTGTGTGTGTAAAATGTTATTTTATTTTAATAAGAAAAAGATGTTATAACTTTTAACTAACCCACAGACAACTGTGGGTTGGTTAAAAGTTATGTGATGACAAAGATGTTGTCTTCTTTTTCATATTTTGAAATATTTTGCTGTTGAACTATGGATGATTTTAACTCAGCATGGTTACTTTTTCCTGGGCATGATTCAATAACTCTGTGATTCTATAGTCTTTCACTTGGCAGTTGGGGGCATCCTCAGAGTTGTATTCCAAAAGAAGGAACATTTGCAAGCTCTGTTATTTCTTAACGGGACACTGTTGTATGTGCAGGTGTTTCTGCTACCTTGCATGCTGCCTCTAGTAGGTTTTGGCTGAGAGGTAATTTTTTGGGCAGGGTTGACTGTCAATCACTAACAATACTAACCAATTATTCCTTTCCTGCTTCTGATTTCTAAGAGCTCTTTCTCCTCTCTTGTAGTTAATTGGGAGCAGGTAGTGTGTTAAAGCCTGCTGCTCAAACCAGTCATGTTTATTCTCAGTTCGCTGTTATCTGTTCAACCGTAAGTAAATGAAACCTTTTATTCCTTCTCATTCTAATGTCAGAACGAGTGATTGAGACTGTAAGTGCCAGTTGATGAAGAAAAAGAGGCAGGGAATGTGGGAGAATGTGAGGAATGCAAAGCTAATTCTGTTCTGTGAGTCCCTGCACTTCTGTTGTGCAGCTAGAGGTATATAACCAAAAAACTGAAAAACTCTGCAACTGTAGAGAATCAGACAAATGGTCTCCCTGCATCTTTTTAGAGAAGACACAGTACCTGCTTATTAACTCATTTGTCACCTTCAGCACTGACAGACTCATTTCCCCTCAGCAGCACCTCTCTTCCCAATCAGTGAAGGATAGAGGTGAGACGGATGAAGCTGAGCACCCATCCATTTTTCCCTGGACGCCATCATTTATTTTGGGATTTGATTCTCACAACAACTTTTCCTCTCCCCCCCCCCCCCGGTGTTCAATTTTCAGCTGTTTACCGGATGTCAGAAATGTTCAGATGAAAAATATTTGACAGGATCTGACTTCTTTGGCTGCCATGCGGCAAAAGAAATGCTTGGGAAAGTTATTATTATTATTATTATTTTGGACTACAACTCCCAGAGTCCTCCAGGCAGCATGGGTAGCAGTGGCCTTGATGGCTGAGGAGTTCTAGTCGTCCAAAGTAATAACTGTTCGAGGTTCTTAGAGAAGAAGCTCCTGAAAACAGGCTGTAGCCTGTTAGGAGATAGAGAATTAATTGCACGTGGCAGGCAGGCTAGCCCAGGAGGTAGTGCGGTGCAGTGATCAGAGTGCTGGATCCATATCTGGCTCGTTCTAGGTTCTAATCCCCTGCCGAGTCAAACAGTATAAAGGTAAAAACAGTGAGTATACAAATACTAAAACGGATCAAACAAATGACACACACACAAAAACAGATAATCCTTTCAAAACTACGTTCAGTGGGTCTGGTCCTCTATCCATTGGTAAAGATGAGTTACCATTTTGGTGGTGGCCCCACAGCTGTGTGAAGAGCTGCTGCCTTCCCACTGGCCCACGCCTTGCTCTTTTAGTGCAGATGTTCAAACAAGCTGTGAAGAAGCTCCTTCATCCCTCTTGCCTTTAATTCTAGGTCAAGTGTACGTTACAAGTAACCCACAAACATTGAGAATGCTTCATGTCGACAGCAGTAGCTTTTCATTCCTCCTGTTAGTTAACAAATTAGCTGGCTTTGTTTTGTTTCGTGGCTGCTCAATGAGAGGCAAGCATCGGTCTTGTCTGCAGCTATGCTCGCTGACTCACAAAGGTCCGTGCGACTCCCACTGCTGGAGCACTAACAGCTTCTAATAATGAACTATCTATAACATATAGCTTGGGCCTGAAAACAGTGAATGGCACACACAGAGCAGCTCTCTTTGTAGTATACACCGGATGTGCCTAGAGATCTATCACTAGTGTTTCTTTTAAGGTGCATCAGTCTCAAAAGTGGCTAAGAACCAATACTCAGGACCAAATAAATAAAATAAATTCAGAACATCAGTTTTCAGAAAAGGATGGGTGGGCGGGATTCATAGCCCGGGAACCTCCTTGTATGTGCATCTCTGCCTTCCAGGAGTCTGGAGTCATGAGGGCCTTCCCTGTCTTTGGAGAGGCCACATTGTTCCTGGCATGCAAGGGATTCCATGGCCCGTTGGAGCTGGGTCCCTGAGTAAGCACGGCAGCCTTCGAGTGGAAGATAAGTGCCTGGATCCTGTACGAGACCTTGTAGATCCAGGACGTTTTGCAGTTTCAAAGAGTCTAGGGGAACATCAGCCCTGGGCAAAGAGGTCCACCTCATTTGCTCGCTTTGGCTGCCCATTTCACATGCCCGTTCCCTGGATCCTCTCCTCATGCCATGAGGATGAAGTCCTCCTGTTGCAGGAGATGAGTGGAGGGATGATTCGAAGTGCTCTGGAGCCGTTCTAGAATTCACCTCTGTCAGGTATTCCTCTCCCAGGGACTCTCCGGAGGAGGAAGTGTCTCCAAAGGCCCCCGACAATAGAGCAGAGTCCCTGTCGCCCAGGGGAGCCTGGCGCAGAACGTTGGCACAGTAGATGCTCTGTCGCTGGGTGTTGCAGCTCCCTGGAATGAACTGGATCTGGCCTCTTTCCTGCTGGTTCAGGATGCGGTGATGAGAAAAGAAGCACATGGCCGAGAGGGAAGGGGAGTCCCCGTCCAGAGGGAGGGCAGCTCTCAAAGCCGACCGATCTGTGTTCAGAAATGTCTGTGAACAGTGTGCAAACCGTTAGTCCAGTGTCAATCCTAACCCCCGTCTCCTTAAGACACCCCCCTTCCCTTACCAGTGTGGTTTTTTTGACCCTTGCGTTCTTGGATGTCCTCGGGAGAAACACCCAAGTCCTGCCTCCAACAGAGCCAGCCCCAAGACATTCTGCTGCCCGAGGTGGAGAACAAGATGAGGGCTGGGGGACCCTCCCCATTCCATGCGCAATAGCCAACTGGGCAACAGTTGTATCCATGTCCAGCTGCAGTGATGGGCAAACCACCTCTGCCACACATGGAGATGGAGGGCCAGCCTCAAAGACTGCATGACAAGCTGTCTTGACGCCTCCCAGCATCTACCGTCAAAGGGAGCCACCAGGCTCTGCCTTGTAGTGGGACCTGCCCTGCAAGATAACCCCAGAGATCGCATCCAATGGGGTGCGCACGGGTCTATGCACGTGCCAAGGAGAACCACAGCCCTTCCACTCACCAGTGACTGGGGGAGGACAATTTCTGAAGTTTGCAGGTGGTGCTTAGAGACAGCCCCGCCAACCGCACCCAAAAGGATGAACCCTCCCAGGGTGAGAGATGCTATAACAAAAGGAGTCCAGACATCATCTGAAAAAAGAGCAGGAACAACGGGCGGTGAGTGGTTAGGAATGATCTTTCTCCAGTTAATCTAATTATATTCTGGCATCCTTCTATGCTTTTTTTTTCCCTTGGATGCCCTCTGAGATTACAGGCTACGTTAAAAAAGTGACTAGCTGTATTTACTACAAGCTGGGAGTTGCAAACCAATATAGTAGTTTTCCACGCTGTGTCTGATGCACAGGAGAACAGCCGGGACTGTCAGCTGTTGTTCTTTTGGGTTGTTGCCCTTTTCTCAGCCCCCTGGGGGTTTCTGGGACTTGTAGTCCAAAAAACCAAGATTCCCAAGGTCTGGAGGAGCAGAGAACCTCACCTGTCCAAGGGCATTTTTACCAGCCACAGAGGACCTTTGCTCATTGAGTCACTGGACCTGCAATATGGCATGGGAAGTGGGTGAGCCACTGTGGGGTTGTGATTAGAGTACTAGGGTGGAGAACAGACTCACTGGGTGATTTTTGGAACAGTCATTCTTTCTTCTTGGCCTCCCTTGTAGAGATGTTGAGAGAATAAACAAGGGAAGGAATGGCAGGATAAAAACAGGAACTGCTGGATAGGTCAGTGGTTTAAAGCATCTGGCTTTGGAGCCAGAGGTTGGGAGTTCAGTTCCCCACTATGCTTCCTTGACAGGGGCTGGACTTGATGACCTTTAGGGTCCCTTCCAACTCTGCAGTTGTGAAATCATCATTATTATAACATAATGAATTAAAATGAACACGTGTCACAAAACTAAGCCACCATAGTAAGGACCCCAGTCGCTCTTACCTGGGCACTTGATACACTGCACAGCCTCCTTGGCTGGCTGGTGGACCACGGTTGCTTGGACACAGTAGTTTACATTTGGTTTTATATTCTCAAATGTGTGGTTCATTCTGCCAAGCTTGTAACCCACCTTGGGGAGAAAAACGGAGAGGAGGTCAACACGGTCTTCCGCATACTTGGAAACAACAAAGGGAGAAGGCCCTGCTCGAGAGGGTATAAAGTGTTCATGTATAACAAACCCAATGCATTTCCAGTGATAATTCCAGTGGACAGAAAATGCCAAATCATCATCATCATGTTAGAATAGCGGAGCTGGAAGGGACCCTATGGATCACTTCCGGCTCAAGGAGGCGCAGTGGGGGAATTGAACTTCCAACCTCTCGCTCCCCTGAGAGTACATTGTACAGACTACAGTATCACAACGTTCACTGAAGAACATACTTTTTAATAAATAAACCCTGGATACGGTTTCTCTCATTTTGGAAATGGTAGAATCTTCAAATATGATTTTCCCCCTCCCCATTTTGCTTATATAAAGAGAGGTCCATGTTTCCTGTGTTTCTGCTCTCAGCCAGTTCAGAGGGCCTCTTTGCTTCCGACAGAGTTATGGACAGATTTCAGGTTCAGCTTTGCATCTTTTTTGGTCTGCAAAGGAGTGTACTTGCGAGAGCTGCCTAGTCTTAGATTTTGGCCCAAGGGTCAGGTTTTAGAGTCCATTCTCCAGAACCCAGACTCTGGCCTGCTTTCACTATTGATTTCTTCCTGGAAATCTTCATGTACAGCTATGCAATAACCTTCATTAGATCATTCTGGTGCAACCTCACTGCTAAAACTTGAACCATGATTTTGGGAATTCCTGGTTCTGATTCCACCTCCACCATAAAATCCCTAAGGAAAAAATAATCAAACAGGGGGGAGGTTGAAACTGAGTTCAACCATAACAGAAAGAAGAAAAGAAAAAGCTCACACCCGCCGATGTCTTGACGCACCATTACTTTCTGGATGGTTTTGTTCTCTCTCTGAAGGGCGACCAGGATGCGCAGAACTTTCATGACCTTGAGGTTCTCACTTGTCTTCAGGGGGGTCTGAGGCATAGACACAGACACAGTAAGATCATGGTCGGCTACCACCAGAGATAGATTAAGGGGACCAATAACTGCTAAGGAGAAAAAAGAAAAGAGGCACTATTAGCCAGTCCCCTTTTGCCCATCAGAATTTTGGTGGATTCAACTCTATCTTTTTTTTTTAGACTAAATTACTTTTTATTTGAACATATACATCTACCAACTACAAACAAAATACAGTATAAGATAAAAAAAATAGAAAAAGAAATGAGGAAAAAAATTCCCCCCTCCCCCTTTTGAGGACAGAGATTAAAACCTCATTAAGTCCAAAATTTCCCAAGTTTCCAGAGAGCACTGAAAAAAAAACCCACATAAATCATTTTGCCCTAAGTTTTGATCTGTCCCGGGACCCAAACATATATTAAGTTCCAGCTTTGTTTTGCATAGTCCCTTGGTTGTTCTCATAGTGCTTCTGAAAGTGTGTCTAGTTCTATAATATCCAACAGCTTCTTCAGGAACTCCTCTATCGTAGGTATGTCTTCACTTTTCCATTTTTGGGCCCAGAGTAACCTAGCCGCTATAAATATATATATCAAACAATATTTAATTTTCTTATCAGTAATTTCTGGCATAATATTTAGTAGTGCTATTTCAGGTTTGAAATTTAATTCCTGTTGAGTGACTCCTTTTATTATTTCCCACAGCTGTAACCAATAACCCTTGGCTTTTTCACATGTCCACCACATATGATAATAAGTTCCTACTTTTTTTTTTACATTTTCAGCAACCATTGCTGCGCCCCTCTGACATTTTTGCCAGCTTCACAGGGGTGTACTGCCATCTGTAAAACATTTTGAGGATATTTTCTCTTACGTTTACCGGCTTAATCATTTTATAACACTCTTTCCACATCACCGTCCAATGATCAATATCAATATTATAACCAAAGTTACTTGCCCATTTTATCATTGTCAACTCAACTCTATCTTCAGTGGCTTGAAATGGGACAAAGGCTTTTTATCACACTACATTCATTAAGCACCTCATAAGTGCAAGGACGTACTACTCATGCGTGTTCATAACCACTGTTATCAGAATGATCACTGTGGCTGTGACCACATGGTCAAATATTGCAGGATCTGTTAACAGGTGTAAAAGGGAAGAATTCATCTTTGTTTTACATGATGCAAAAGCCAACCTGAATCAGAGCAAAACCTCTTTTTGCTCCCAGTGCAGAGTAGAACCTGGGTCTTCTACTTTTTTCAAGCTGAAACGAGTTGAACGGAGTTTCCTCCGTGTGATAAGTTACTTTGTTCTCCCAAAGGATTGAGGGCATGGCTGTGGGTGATATTCTGGTGACACACTGAGCTGGGTGTGATGTTTTAGACATGGGGAACACTCACCCCCATGGTCTTCTTCGTAGTCACTCCAAAGTGTTTTTTAATTTTATTTTATTTTACAGAAACTATCAAGTTTAGCGCTGTATCACCTTATCACTACACTGATAGACTAGTTTAGTGCTAGATCTTAAAACAAAAACCGATGTGAAATAGAAACCACTCTGACAAACTAAATTTCACTACCATGTCTCCATTGTATGTGTGAATGTGTTCGTATGTTACAGAGAACTTTTGAAAACTGTTTCTCTCCCCGCCCCCAGTGTTGTACAACAGCCCACCAGCTTTACAATGAACCATAAAAGGATCAGTAGAGCAGGATCCAAAGGAAGGGGGCTGTTCCCCTTCTTCCAAATCAGAGCAGAAAACATTTCCTTACTGTCTTTATACAGCTGCAGTGTATTCGAATTGGCCCAATCAGACCACCTAGATCCATCCTGGGCTCTCACCCTGGCATAGTAGTGGGTGTATAAATCTGGCAGATGCAGCTGACAGCTCTGGATCACTTTCAGATTGTTCCCTCGGCAGGACGTCTCTTTGACCCATCCAGGAGAAGATCTGTTACTTAAAAACAGAAAACGCAGCCCTCCAATGAAGCCTTGTCTATTCAAGTGCTCACGTAGCCCTCCCTACAGAGCATAAAGTCTCTGGTTTTAGGGTTCTGTAGCAGGATAGAAACAACGTTAATGTTTAGAAGGGTCGTGACAAAGCAGCAAGAAGTTCCATTTTTGCCCTGTAATTCTTGGACTCATAGATGGCTGGATAGCTCAGTGGTTTAAGTATCTGGCTGCTGAGCCAGAGGGTTGGGAGATCGATTCCCCACTGGGCCTCCTTGACAGGGGCTGGACTCGTTCATCCTTAGGGTCCCTTTCCAGCAGTTCTAAGATTATTATTGGTTTGGCTGTGCTTGTCGGGGCTGTAACTATGGTGGAGCTAGATGAGTTAGACTCAGAGGTTGGGAGTTCAATTCCCCACTATGCCTCTTGTGAGTACAGCCAGCCTGTGTTGCCTTGGCCAATCTGCACAGTCCCAAGGCTGCCCCCTAGAGGAAGGGAATGGGAAACCACTTCTGAGTATTTTCTACATGGAACACCATGAAAAGGGTTGCCATAAATCAGACTTGACTTGATGGCACATAATTATTTATTATTACTGTACTAATTCTCAGAGTCACCTGCCATGTTTGCTGAGGGCATCCTTTGACTTGTGACATCTGAAGGGCCATATAACATGTTTCCTCGAAAATAAGACAGGGTTTTATATTAATTTTGGCTCCAAAAGAGGCTTATTTTCAGGGGATGTTTTATTTTTTCATGTACAACAATCTACATTTATTCAAATACAATCATGTCATCTTCTTCTGGTTGCTGCACAAGGATGGAGGGCAGGGTTTCACTCAACTGGGGCTTATTTTTGGGGTAGGGCATATATGACGAGCATCCTGAAAAGTCATACTAGGGCTTATTTTCAGGTTAGGTCTTATTTTAGAGGATGCGGGGTATTTCCAGTCATAAAGTAAATAAACACTTCTCCATTGTCAAAGGAAAAAGACTAAGGTTCCAACCTACCCATTATGTCTCTCCACTTCATACTGAGTGTTGCTGGTTGAGCCTGGAGCTGGATGCCATATCAAAAACGTGTAAAAATTCTCAGAGATTAGTGTTACATTCTGTGGTGGAAGAAGCAACATTCCTTAGATAAGGAGAAAGAAAAGAAACCAGACTGAGCACGTCGATCAATGTGAGCTTTCGTGGCTGAACATCCATTTCTTCAGATACTGGCGAGAGCAGTGTATTTATATAAATCTCCGTGGCCAGGTGAGGTTACAATAACAAAGAGCCTGATATTATAGCCCACAGAGTTGGACCACCAGGCTTTTGGGAAGTTCAATTCCTCACTGTGCCTCCTGGGGGCAGAGCCAGCCTGGGTGACCTTGGGCAAGCTGCAAAGTCCCAGAGCACCCCAGGAAAAAGCCACTGGTAAAACAATTCTGAGTACTCTATACCTATGGGTGTATGTGTTATTAGAAACAGGATCCCCCTGCAAAAGGCAAGCAAAACAAAAACATAAACAAAAGGCCAACTTTAGTGGGACCTTCTCTGCTCCAAGAACCGAGTTTTCTTTCATTTGCATGCACACATATTGTCATGCGAAAAAAGAAAGTACACCTTCCTTGAATTCTATAGTTTTGCATATCAGGACATAATACAAATTCATCTGGTCCTTAGCAAGTCTAAAAATTAGGTGAATACCACCTCAGATGAACAACAATACATGACATATTACACTGTGTCATTATCAATTTGTCAAAAGTCAAGCCAAAATGAACAAGCCATGTGTGAAAAACTAAGTACACCATAGAATTCAAGAAGTTGTGGCAACAATAACTTGAAGTAATCGTTTTTTGTATGACTTTATCAGTCTCTCAGATCATTGTGGAGGAATATTGGCCCACTCTTCTTTGCAACATCGCTTCGGTTCATTGTGGTTCACAGGTGTTTGTTTATGCACGGCTCTCTTAAGGTCCTGCCACAGCATTTCAGTTGCGTTGAGGTCTGGACTTTAACTAGACCATCGCAACACCTTGATTCTGTTCTTTTTAGCCATTCTGTTTTAGATTTGCTGGTGTGCTTCGAATCATTGTTCTGTTGCACAACCCAATTTCGGCCTTAACTGTCAGACAGATGGCTCACATTTGACTCTAAAATACTTTTGGTATCCAGAGGAGTTCATGGTCAAATCAATGACTGCAAGGTGCCCAGGTCCTGTGGTTGCAAAATAAGTCCAAATCATCATCCTTCCATCACCGTGCTTGACAGTTGGCATGAGGTATGTGTGCTGATACCCTATGTTTGTTTTTTGTCCAACATAGCACTATGTATTATGACCAAACATCTCTACTTTGATCTTGTCCTGTCCAAAAGACATTGTTCCAGAAGTCTTGTGGCTTGTCCAGATGCAACTTTGCAAACCTAAACCTTGCTGCCATGTTCTTTTTAGAGAGAAGAGGCTTTCTCCTGGCAACCCTTCCAAACCAAACATACTTGTTCAGTATTTCTAATTGTACTTTCATTAACTTCAACTTTTAACATGCTAACCGAGACCTGCAGAGTCTGAGATGCAACTCTTGGGTTTTTGGCAATTTCTCTGAGCATTGCATGGTCTGACTTTGGGGTGAATTTGCTTGGACATCCACTCCTGGGAAGACTGGCAACTGTTTAAAAAGCTTTCCACTTGTGAATAATTTTCCTCACTGTAGAATAATGGGTTTTAATTGTTTGCAAATGGCCTTATAATCCTTCCCAGATTGGTGGGCAGCAACAATTGCTTCTTCATTGCTGATGTGTTTCCTCCAGGTCTGTTAACACACACCTGAATGCTCTAGACCAGAAATCAACTTAAAGTTGCATACAGGGGCTGTCTGAGTGAAGAAACATGATACAAGGTGCTCTAATGCAGGGGTCCCCAACCCCCGGTCTGCGGCCGGTGACAGTCTGTGGCTTGGGCTGGACCAGGAGATGGGGACAGATCTCCCACCCACACGCACTTCCCTGTACAGCCCCTTTGTGCGCCCATGCAAGCACCCCCACCCTTCATGCATGCGTGCAAGTGCCCCCTGAGTGCCCCCCTCTGCGCATGCACGTGAGTGTGTGCGCGCCCACTCAAGTGCCGGTTGGGGAAGGCAAGGAAGTGCCCCACTTTCCCCAACTGGTCTGCGGTGTTCAAAAGGTTGGGGACCACTGCTCTAATGCACCTTTCAGAGGGAACTGTGTCTTCACTTTTGGAAGAGTGAAGCAGAGATACAATATTTAGGCTTGTGCAGTTACTTATTGGATCACTGAAATTCACAAGTGTGGCCAAGTGCAGCTTTCTCCAGACTGATGGTTCTTCCAGATGAGGAAACGTTGCACCTCCCTTCGCGCCTGTTCAATGGGAAGGAAAATAAACCTTTCTAGGATTCATGTCCAGCCTGCACTTTTAGAAACAACCTCTTGAAAATTGCTTCTCTCCTTTTAAAATAATCTAGAACCTCCTTTTAAATATGTGAATAAAGTAATATCTGCTAGAGCTTCTCTTCTGGGACTCTTTTCTGTGGGAGGTGTTTCTCTGCTGAGAGACCATAAACAGAAAGCTTTCAGTGGTGAAGCTTTGGCCATGGAAATGAACTTTGAATGGGAAATGCTATAGTAAGAAACTCTCCCCTAGAACAAACCAAACCAAAAAATAAACCACACATGCAGAAGGACATAACAAGCACACAAAGCCATAAATTTTATCAATGAACATAGCAAGACAATCTTTACATGATACAGATGGCAGGAAAAATGTCAATATTATCAGTGATGAATCAGGTGCATTGCAGAAACAAATACAATAGGACCCCTGTATCCAAGGGAGATCAGTTCCAACCCCACCTCACCCCCCGTGGATGCTGAAAAACACAGATAATAGTGAACACTATTATAGTGTAATAACCAATGCTACTGGTAGCATGGTTTCTGGCTCCCTCTAGCGGCCAGTTCTCAGAACATCACTACAAATACCATATTTTTCCATGTAAAAGACTATATTTTGTCTAAAATTTTAGACTAAAATTGAGGGTCGTCTTATACACAGAAGTAAGCTGAGGAGAATACAAAAACAAGTGGAGGGGAAAGCAGGGATCAAATAGTTCCTGCAGGGCTTTGATCCCTGCTTTCCCCTCCACTTGCTAAGCCTTAGCAAAAGGAAAGCAGGGATCAAAGCACTGCAGGATCGCTTTTATCCCTGCTTTCCCCTCTGCTTGCTAAGTCCCACGGGGCTTAACAAAAGGAGGGGGGAAAGAATCAAAGCAATCCCGTGACTGTATAAGGGGGAAAGAGATCAAAACAATCATGTAGTTGCGGGATTGCTTTGATCCCTTTCCCCCTCCTTTTCCAAAGCCCCACGGGGCTTAGCATGAAGGGAGAAAGCAGGGATCAAAGCGATCATGCAGTGCTTTGATCTCTTTCCCCCTACACTTGCTAAGCCGCACTTAGATTTCTTAATTTTGGGTTAGGAAAGTGGGGGGCGTCTTATACATGGGGGCATCTTATACATGGAAAAATACAGTATATGTCTGGGGGATTTTTCTTTTAGTATTTTTAGTATTTTCAGACCATACATGAGTGAATCAGTGGATCCTGATCCCGCAGGAAAAAGGATCCTACTGAGAAAGTCCTTAAATTTGGGAAAGAAGCAAAAACTTTTTTCAAAAACTCTAACGAATATATTGGCCCTTGTTCCTGCAGGCAGCCTGACTCACAAGACCAAGTCAGAGCTTGAAGAAAAGACTTAGGGATCCATTGACAGTTGTTCTTTGCTCTGTAAATGAAAAACAGGTTGTCATAACCCCTAGCAATGTGTCCATCACCCAGAGAAGCTCCAAAAAGACTTAACTAACCTTTTCCTTGCCAGGTTAAGAAATCAAAGACTTACCTTCTTGAAAGGAACAATCCATAAGGAGGAAAAGGATGGCCCAAAATGCAACAGTCATTGTTTTTCATTTGAGCCTACCAGGTCTACGGCCATATGTCTTAACCCCCATATTTAAATGACAGAGCCTGACAACAAGGAAGAAGCTAGCAAGAAGAGTGAGCAAAATAACTCCACCTTAGATCACTCTTCTTGGTATGCACTGGCTGATACGGAAGTGCAGGATGAATTACTGCTTTTATTTTTCCAACTAAAGTATGAAGAGGTTGCTCAGCCCCTTTGCGGTTAGGCCATCTGGTCTCAGAATGTTACCTGGCAGCCAATTTGCTTGGGATTATTAGCAGATGACTCACAAAGAACATCACCACAGGTCAGCTGACTCCAGGTGAATATGGAGCTTCATACCTGCCTCTTAAAATCATAGCCACCAAGGACATCTAGGCTGAAATCAGAGCTCCTTTCTCAAAAGACTGTGGAGAACAGCAGAGTTCCGAAAGAACATAGCCAGAATCCTCCAGCCCGTCTGACCACTGCAAAGCTGCTGGTGGAAGAATTCTGGGTGTTATTGTCTACATAAGGGAACTTTTCCAGTCTTTACTAGCAGTCATGTGTCAAGACTATTATTTTTTTACTTAATGCCTTTAAGAGATCTGCCTTATAGATAGCAGCACAAATCACTTTGCTTAGGATGCAGCCAGATGGACTGGTGTGGGCTAAATATGGTTGCTTGGGGTTCGGTGAAGGTGTGATATACCATTTGGTGGAATCTTCACATCTAAATAACCAATCAGAGCAAGCAACTTTTCTGGTCTGGCTCCTTCTGGTTGGAATTTCCAATACTGTGAAGCAGCTTAATAAGCCACTTCAGGATATTGGCAAATTGAACATTTCCTCTGCTCCTTAGAATGATCTAAGGTGGAGTTGTTTTATTCATCTTCCTAGTTTCTTTGTTCTCAGAGTCTGTGATTTCAATATGGGGACTGAGAATTATGGAAGCAGCAGTAGAGGAAGTGATTTTTTTAAGCAGTAGACCATTGCTGATGTGCTGCATCATATATACTGTACATAGGTAAAGGTAAAGGTAAAGTTTCCCCTTGACAATCTGTCCAGTCGTGTCCGACTCTAAGGGGTGGTGCTCATCTCCGTTTCTAACCCATAGAGCTAGCGTTTGTCTGAAGACAATCTTCCATGGTCACGTGGCCAGTGCGACTAGACACGGAACACCGTTACCTTCCCACCATGGTGGTACCTAATTATCTACTCACATTTTGCATTTTGCATGCTTTCAACCTGCTAGGTTGGTGGGAGCTGGGACAAGCGACGGGGGCTTACTCCATTGCATGAATTCTATCTTACGACTGCAGGTCTTCTGACCTTGCAGCACAGAGGCTTCTGCGGTTTAACCCGCAGCGCCACCACATCCATGGATTCAGCTGCAGGCAGTTTCTCAACCAGCCTTTCAAAACAATTTTTAAAAAAGAAATTATAACTGAGCAATCTGCTACAATCTAAAAAAAAATAATTGTGTCTACCCATCTGCCAAAGAGCAGTGGAAGTGTTCAATTTGCCAATATCCTGAAGTGACTTGCTTATTAAGCCACTTCACTATATTGGAAATTCTAACCAGAAGGAGCCTTGACAGCAAGACAGCTCAATTTTGATCTGTTCCCAACGATCCTACCTACAGAAGTATCCTACAGAAGTAGAAGCCCTTGAGAGAAGGTCAGAAAGGTGTGATTAGGCACACTCTTGGGCCATTTTGGTTTGCTCCCGCTGTTACATCATCATGTCATTGCTGGAAAAAGGAGTCAACCAACCCGTTCCCTCTCAGCAGAAGGAACAGTGGACTAAAGGCCTGTCCAATTGGACCCTTACTTCACAAGTAAGTAGTAAGCCAGGTTTGCTGTAAATGGAGGCCCCGCCTTCTCATTCTGCTAAAAGGGCCCCCCTCAACCTTTGGCCCAAAGTTCTAGCCTAATGGAGAGATCCCGGAATATCTTCTTTATATGCCTATTCAATGGTGAAGCTCTCTGGGTGACCTTGAGACGCTAGTTATCTCAAACAATACTGTTTCACTGGGAGAGGATTACATTTCAAGTGAAATCTCTTCATATTACCTCGAACTCTGTCAAGTCAAGTACTGTAAGACATAAGTGCAACCTTTTTAAAGTGTCCTCCTTCATTTCCGAATGCAAGCAGGGATGGGGTATTGTCACACAGCTTTTCCTTTACCGTTATTTCAAGGTTTCATCTCCCGCCTCTGGACATGTTCCCAGAACAGGTTATATAACACAGTAAAACAATAAGATGTATTGATGAAACCAAACAAACCTCTCAGGGCAATGTCAGGGCAGCATAAAAAGCTGGCGAGATAAAGCTTGTTTTTAACAACTTGGAAGATGTTGAGTGGTATTTAAAAGGCAGCAAAATACATGTTGTGAGCCTTTCTAGGCAGAATATCCCCAAAATGTCTGTTCTTGGACTGTTCTCCATTGACTGCTGCAGCGAGGAGGTGCAGGGTGGCTGAAAAACTCAGCTGAGTTAGGTATCAGGCTCTGAAGCCAGAGGTTGGGAGTTCGATTCCCCACTGCTCTGCCTTCTGGGAGAAGAGCCAGCCTGGGTGGCCTTGGGCCGGCTGCACTGTCCCAGGACGGTCCACAGAAAAAGGGAATGTGAAACCACTTCTGAGTACTCTTAATCTGGAAAACCCTGGAAAAGGGCTGCCATAAGACAGAACTGACTTGACTGCTACTACGACGTGATTGCTACTACTAAAGAGATGCAGGGCAGGGCCCCCAAAAATGATCTCAGCAAACTGGAGCAACTTTATGTCATTGGGGTTATATATAGAAAAAGGGACAACCCTCTATTTAAAAGGCTGTCAGAGGGGCAGGTTGCCAGGTCAACAAAACTCCACCCTCCAAGATTTCAGGGCCACAACCCAAGACCAGAGGGCGGGCTTCTGTGATGTCACAGAGGCAACACAGACAAGGAGTGGGAGTGGGGAAGAACCAGCTGGTTATGAAAATTTGGGCTTCTGGACATGAGACTGCTACTACGACGTGATTGCTACTACTAAGGAGGTGCAGGGAAGGGCCCCCAAAAATTATGTCAGCAAACTGGAGCAACTTTATACCATTGGGGTGATAGATAGATAGATAGATAGATAGATAGATAGATAGATAGATAAAACTCCACCCTCCAAGATTTCAGGGCCACAACCCAAGACCAGAGGGCGGGCTTCTGTGATGTCACAGAGGCAACACAGACAAGGAGTGGGAGTGGGGAAGAACCAGCTGGTTATGAAAATTTGGGCTTCTGGACATGAGAAAAATACAGTGATGCCTCACAAGACAAATGCCTCACGCAACGAAAAACTTGCAAGACGAAAGCGTTTTGCATTTTTTTTCCTTTCTTTTTTTGGGTGACTCGCAAGATGAATTTTTCTATGGCCATGCTTCGCAAAACGATTTTTTTCTTTTTTTTCTTTTTCCTTTTGGTTTGTTTTAAATCGCACAGCCATTAGTACCATGCTTCGGTTGTTTTAAATCGCACAACCATTAGTACCATGCTTCGGAAGACTAAATTTTCGCAATACGACACGACTCATGGAACTAACTAATAAACGGAATTAATTTCGTCTTGCGAGGCATCACTGTACAAATAAATGGAGTCTACCAACTGGGTAAAACTCTGCTAACCAAGTAATTCGGAGCATAGCCGTTCCTTGAGACTTCAGTTGGCACTTGGGAGGCCTGGCAACCCTACCCGAGGACGTTCCTTTACTGCATGGCACGTGTGCCACTCCAGACATTGTTGGAGAGTAATCCAACATTCCCAACTCTAGTAGCTGGGGATAATGGGGACTGCCATCCAAGAATTGTTGTTATGTGCCTTCAAGTCGAAACTGATTTATAGCAACCCTGATGGGGATTTCAGATACTCCGTGTGGTGTAGTGGATCGAGTGATGAACTAGGACTCTGGAGACTAGGGTTCGAATCCCCACTTGGCCATGGAACCTGACCAGGAGAGTGGAACAGGTAAAACCATTCTTTAAATATCTCACTTTCTTTGAAATCCTGTTAGGGTTTAAGTCCTTTCTGACTTGACAGTATGTTAACAACAATAGGGGTTACAAGGTTATCAATTCCACTTGCCCGATGAGTTTCAATGAGCAGGGATTCAAACCTAGGCCTTCTGAATCCTAGTCTGTCATTCTGTCCACTACTCACCACACTTGAGTGTCTCACCATTCAAGAATACTGAATTGCTCACAATGCCCTCCCTCTTAGTTTGGTCAACTCAAGGTCAAATGGGTTGACCCCTTCTCGTCTCACAAACCTTTGCTCACTGTTCCAGCTCATATTTGTGAAGAGGTTGGTTGCAGCTGGGAAGAGCCTGTGGACCTCTGGATATTGCTGGACTACAACCCCCATCAGCCCTAGCTAGACCAATGGAGGGTGAAGGATGAAGACCGAGGAGGCATCAAGGAGCCACAAGCTGCCAACCTCTGACAAAGGTGTTCAATCAAGGAATTATGCACTCTGCATTTTCTCTTGCAGGGTTTCAGCTGAAATGCCAGCAAGTCCTTGAACAGTGCTTTGCAGGATAAGCGCAAACAGAATGTCTAATCCACATGCAATGAAAAGTATTCTTTGTGGATTTTCGGATGTTGTTGTAGCAGGGTGGGAACCACCAGTCTTTGCAAAGAAATCCAGTCCTCCCGGGGACTTAGCTTGGCTCCACCAGATGACCAGGTTCCCTTTCATGTAATACCATCACCCAGTGACTTCATAGCTTTGATCTCTACTCAAAATGTTTGAAATACCTCTCCTCGGACTGCATTGCTGGCAAGAGTTTTAACCTGAACTAAGGATGCGGTTACACTATTGAGATAAATGAGGTATTGGATTGGGGTTTTTGAAGTTGGTTTAAAGGCACATGGTAGACACGAGGTTTTTAGGCTGGTGTGTGCATCTGTTCGGGACACATTTTTGCCCATTTTTAAGCTATGCTGCATATTGGTTGAGGGGACTCGGTGGGCTTTTAAAATCTGCATTTGACGCTTCGTTCCGTGGCTGTGTGCCCTTCTGCTTGCATGTGCGCTCACCTGTTTGGAGTTTGTCCAGTAATGAGTGCCAGGATCATGAGTTTTGGGATGCAGGAAAACCTTGCAGTTGAATCTTTGTAACGCTGAAATAGCACTATCCCACTTTGAAAAAAATAAAAGAAATTAAAAGAAATGTTCAAAACAGCACTGGCAGTAGCAGTGGCTGTGAGTGACGGTCAGATGAAAGGTGGGCAGGAAAGGGTAGGACAACGTCTCAGATGCAACAGGTTTGTGGCACCCACCAGCCCTCGCACTGGCTGCCTTCCACAGCCACTCGCCGCTACTGCCACCAGTGTTATTTAAAATATTTATACTGTATTTGAATGTGTTTTTTCAAAGAGGAACAGTGCTATTTCAGTATTAGACAGACAGACAGATAGATAGATGTGGGAACCGCTACATACATATACTCTCTCTCTCTCTCTCTCTCTGTGTGTGTGTGTGTGTGTGTGTGTGTGTGTGTGTGTGTACACACGTATAACAGATCAAACTGTGTGTGTGTGTGTGTGTGTGTGTGTGTGTGTGTGTGTGTGTGTGTGTGTGTGTGTGTGTGTGTGTGTGTGTGTGTGTGTACACACGTATAACAGATCAAACTGCAAGGTCTACCTGCATCCAGAAACTCTTGATACTAGCATCCATTACTTAACAAACCCCACAGACACAATTTACGTCAACAAAGGCATTCACATATGCAGAAGCAATTCAAACTAAACTGATTTCACAAGTGATTTAAATTAAACAACTCTCTCGGGGCCAAGTAAAATACCTCACTTTCCAACCAAAAACACACACTTACTAGGCAAAAAAAAAAAAAGGCTGTGCATCCTATGTGTCGTACAGTTAGAATTTTTAAAATTGATTTAAAATATGCAAAAGCTGATTCAAAAAACAGGGTTTTTTTCTGACATGGAACCACACCCTAAGCTGGCATTGGTGCTCCCGCCCTGTTGTCTCAGGGGCAGGTTCGGTCTGCATGTGCCCTTCCCCTTCAGGCTCACCCTGCTAATCCGAGTACTTTTTGTTTCAAACCCTGCCACTCCCTCTTGGCCAAGTGCCTCCTTTGGCTGGGTGAGCTTGCACAGAGAGCAATTTATACCAGGGCACACTTGCAGTTTGGGGGCATGTCTGGATTTGGAGGCAAACGCCAAGTCGCTGCTGATGTGCACCCTTCCCTCCTTTGGGTTGGCACACCAACACTTGCTCAGCCCCAGCAGTTCCGGGAGGGCTGTTGGCACTATGAAGCAGAGGAGGTCCTCCATCTTGGACCTCAAGGAGGACTGTGCTGACATCGTGGCTAAAGCACTGAGTCAAACTTTTGGACCTGCAGGCTCCTTCCCCGAAGCCTTCATGCTTGATCACATGGCCTGATAAGGAACGTTTAGAACCTGAAAGGTTGCAAAGAACAGCGGAACTGCAGTGGGTCCTAGGAAAGATACGGCCCAGCTGTCGGTTTTGTTCTCCCACCTGCCCCTCCCCATCCCTGATGCCACGGACGGCCAGCCGGAAGCCCTATCACTAGGAACCGGGCCTTCTCAGCAGTTACCATAGAACACATCCCATTGCTCTTCAGTCACACTTTCAAGAACCTTCTATTTAAGTCTTTAAATCTTTAATATTGTCACTCCCAATTTTGTTTGTTCTATGTCGGTGGGTTACAGGGATGTGTTTTTTTTTTCTTCGTCATTTTTCTTTTGTTTGCATTTTGCTGTACGCTTCCCAGAGGAATAGCCTAGCGATTTAAGAAATAAACGCTACAAAATCTTTCTTCTGTTCTCACAGCCGTCATCTCAGTCAGTGATGATGATGGTATGGAATGAGACAGACCCCACTATCTGACTCCTTTTAAGGTCCTTCTCCTAAAAAGACCCTGCATGGGCTTACCTCTTCAGAGGAATGTGTTGCCTGTTCAGGATTCTGAGCGGCCACGTGTTCTCCATGGGGATCACCTAAGCTGTAAAGTGATCAAGCAGATCATTTGCTCCCCACCCCCACCATGGCTTCTATATTCCAACGACGCCTTTACAGTCTAGAAAGACTGACATTGATACTCAGTCCTTTTTGAGAAGTTTAAACAAAAAAGAGAATAGCCACCCGATTCTTGAAAAAGGGTAAGAAGTGATCAAGCAGATCATTTGCTCCCCACCCCCGCCATGGCTTCTATATTCCAACGATGCCTTTACATTCTGTCCAGAAAGACTGACATGGATACTCGGTCCTCTTTGAGAAGTTTAAACAAAAAAGAGAACAGCCACCCAATTCTTGAAAAAGGGTAAGAAATAGCTTCATTCAACCCCTGAAAAGCTCTAAAAACAGGCCAATACAAACTCCATCAAGCTGGGCATTGCAGAGCTTTTGAGGGGGGCCAGGGAACTGGAGTAGAAAAGTCCAAGAATCATCCTGCACAGATGTTGGGGCTTCAGGTCCTGAAGCCCATCATGTTATTTCTGAATTATGACAGACCTAAGAGGCTGTCTGAGTTTCCTGGTGCGTTGCCACAGCCAAGCCGGAATGTGAACCCGAGTTTTGCGAGTCCCAGTCTGACATTCGAACCACCACATCACATTGGCTGTCTTGTGTCTGTTGCTCAAAGACACATCTCAGGCTAGTGGCTAAAAACCTGTAGAAGCCGCTTGAGATTTTACCTTTCTTGGAAAGAAGAATCAATTGCCTTACTGGGTAGTGAAAGGGTTGTCAATCACTCAAGCCTTCATTAATTTCAAAGCGTCCACAGCTATTGCTCTTTTCAGGTGACACTTCCTTTCCTCTGTAGACAGCTGTAGCCAAGGGGATGGGCTAGAGTTGTCCCTCGTTACTCATGCATTTAAATTAACACACACACACCCTTATTTTTCTGAATGCCTGAACATTCAAGTGTTCAACCTTCACTGTCTTCTCCATTGACCTTATTCAAAGAATAGCCATCCTGGACTTTATCTACAGCCAGAGCAGGGAAGCCTACCATTGCAGGCATCACATTCAACTCTTCTGATATCAGAAGCATCATGTTCTAGCTGTTTTGAACAAACTGAGTTTTAAATATGTTTCAGGCCAGCAATAATGTGTGAAGACACAAGACAACAGGGGCTTCCATAACTAAACAGCTACCACCAAGGAATACAATATGTTCTAATGATTAACTTTTGCCCCCTTATAGATTTTTTTAAAAACTGCATTTTTTGCAAGTCTTGGGAGAGTTTCTCTGAAGATGGCAGGTTATCATAAATCACGAAATTGGAAGGGGCCTAGAAGGCCATGGAGCCCAACCCACCTGCTCAATGCAGAAATTGAAGTTAAAGGACAGCTGACAGATGGCTGTCCAACTTTCTTTTCAACACCTCCAGCGTTTGCGTGCTCACCACCTCCTGGTTCCGTTGTTCTACTGCTTTACCAGTTAAGGCGTTCTTTCTGATCTTCTCTCTAGTTACAGTATTCTGGACCTGCATTGGTCAGCTGCGAGGTTAGGAGGCAGAGTGCAGTTTAGGAGAAGTGATGTTTTACGATTTTTCTCCATCGATCGCCATCCAGATACATGGCAACCCCATTGTGCCAAGCCAGCACATCCACTGGAAAGATCTTCTGTGCAATCAACCTGTTTTCTATCATCAGCGGGAAATGAGTGCTTGGTGTCCAGGACTCCCAACAATATCCAGGTGTTTGATGTTAACCCTTTACACTTTTGAGTGGGATCATTGAACCTGTTTTTCCCCCTTTGGCATTTCG